ATTTTCTGTATAATAATAATCTCGATTCGATATTATTGAAGTTTATCACTATGAAGCCGATGAGCTTCTTAGCTTTGGATACTTCGGATGCAATATGCTCAGAAAAGTTCAGACTGTTTCTATATCTTAAACCTAAGTCACAGACAGTGTTGAGAGGTTTGAGTGTATGTTTGTGTGTAGTCAGATTTAAGTTAAGGCAGCTGCCAGTGTGAATAAATCCACTTTTGTCAACATTAAATGGCATATTCTACGAAATAGTCCATTCGTACAACTTGTTTATTTCCTCTTGGATTAGCGCTGAAATATAGCTTTCTTTCGTGGGAGAAGAGAATGAATAAACTACTTTCAGGTCATCAGCAAAAAGGAAAGGCTTACCATACTGAAAGAGGGAACACACATCATTCATAAAAAGGAGAAAGAGTAATGGACCAACCACACTTCCTTGTATAACCCCACTGGTTACATTCACAGGTTTAGAGTAGCAAGATCCAAAGCGAACGATTTGGCTACGTTCTTCTAAAGAAGATTTGAGCCAAGATAAAAGCGGATTCTGTATGCCAAATGAAGAGAGTTTTAAAAGAAGAAGTTTGTGTGAGACACTGTCGAAAGCCTTACTAAAATCGAAGTAAAGAACTATCACTGACTGACCAACATCTCTTCTCTGGGTAATTTGATCAAAAAACTCCAGGTGCGATGTGAAACATGAGCGTTTAGTCATAAACCCGTGTTGGGATGGGCTGATCAGACTAGCCGAAAGTAAAAATGATAGTAGCTGTTTGTGGATGATTTTTTCCATGGTTCTTGAGAGCACGGATGTCAAATTAATTGGCCTATAGTTAATAATATCACTACGTGGTCCTGTTTTGAATCTAGGGGTGATAAGGGATGTTTTCCATACAGATGGATAGGTCCCATATTCCATAGATAGGTTGAAAAGTTTCTAATAGAATAGTGGGAATTCTCTACTCCCATATTTCAAAAATGATGAGGGGATCCCGTGAGGTTCACCATCACAGGACTTTTCATGGGCAGCTATGGCCCGCTTGATTTTTGTTATGGTTCGTTAATCTTGGATTGTTATTACTGATTCGTCTTACTCGAACGGAACGAAGGATCAATGATTCAGAGACTCGATAGCTATTCTGGTTCGCTGTCCCCGGCTCTGCTAACCCGATCAAGAAGTCTGGGTAAGGTGTAGAAAGTGTATTCTACAGACAAACAGCAGATAACAAGTCAAGTCAAACACACAATCAAGCGTATTTATACAAATATTTACAATCGATATTGTCATGGAGAATTTTTAAACATTAATCAATGAGTTCATTAATTGACCGCTATTTAACATTTAATCGATAGTTCATCAATTGACCTATTTGCACATCTAATCGATAGGTTCATCAACTGACTGCCATTCAAACATTTAATCGATAAGTTGATCGATAAGATAAAATTTAAAAATATGATTTTAGGGATCTATCGTCCCCAACAATTTTGGAGGGTATAAAATCAATTCTCGATAGGTGTCTGGATGTCAGCGTTGGAAATGTATTAATGGAGCTTTCAGTTCCAGTTTTGTAGCATTGCGATAAGTGCTTGCTGAACTGTTCACAAATAATATTAGGTCGTCAACAATGCTTCCGTTAACTATGAAGAATTTAGTCCTGCCAAGGGAAGTTAGGTAGTGCGCAGATATGTTCGTGCTTGCTAGGAGATCAATACAAGAGAGGGATTCACCAAGAAGTCCTACAAATCCATTCAAACCGCCTGCCATGCATATTTCGGAGGGAAGACAGTTAAATATTAGTGGTTATTCGATGATGATGGGTTCTGAGGAGTCGTCGTTTTGTAGCCAAACAATTTTTGCATTTGGGATGCTTTAGCGGAGATGTGTTCAGAAGAGTTTAGACTGTGCGGGTAGTGCACACAAGGACAGTTACTGATTTGAGTTTATGGGATACTTGCTCGTCAGGCGTTAGTTTTACTTTAACAGACGTACTTCCAAAACATAGTCACGTTTCTCCGTGTTGAGTTTTAAATTCCAGCACTTAACTCATTGAGTTCATGCTGGATTACTTAAGTAATACTATGTACGTCACAAATGTTAGTTTTGAAGATGATGTTTAAGTCGACCTTAAGGCAATTCCTACCTGTATTGAAGCACTTGCATATGACTGGAACAATAAGGGCGACTAATAGAGGTAGAATTTCGAATTTAGAGGTTAGTAATAGGTCGGAAATACCCGTGTCTAGAGATAAAACTATAAGAAAGCTAGGGACGACATCATGTAAGGAATCTCGTAGTAATGTGTACAACATGGACCATTCAGCCTAAACACTAAAACCAAATCTCCAATTAAGTATTCAGGATCAAATTACTACCCAGTTCCCTAATCCTTTAAAGACTAGTGTGCAATAAAGAAGTTGGAGAAAAGGACATACCAAACTGCTTGTGGTGCAAACTACTGGTAAGAACAACACAAAAACGATAGACGCATCGCATGATCGTCTGTAGTGGCTGGACTCACTGTTGCTGTGGTACTGTTGCGTTTGTGTAGTACTAAGAGTTCACGTTAAGTCATCCTTCTCCACGTTTCTGGTAAGTTTACACACAATGTGGGGAAAATATGCCTGTAGAATTATGGTCTACTATGATATTAGTACTGCCCTAATAATAGACCTAATCCTAAAATTGTAGATTTGTCATGATGTAACTGCCTAATCTATAAGATCTTACGTAGAGGTCACACCATCGACTACACCAACTCACTGTACCGTAACAATTACCAATACGTGACGGAGAACAAGGTTAGGCTAGAGAAAGAACGATATATTTAATACTAATAAAAGATATAAGGTAACGTTCCGCAAGGACCACGCCTGCATGGCCAAGTCATGTCATCCGATCAAATCCAATTAATTCAACTAATTGTTCCCGCCTTTTCCATCGTTAGGTATTTCTCCGTGTTAAATATTGAATATCTATTTCCCTAGTAGTCTCGTGTTCAGCTTTGAGGATTGTGTGATTATGGTCCAATGCCACTACGTACTCACAGAACTAACTAAAGACAATCATTAGATCCCATAGAATGTAATAGTAGCCACCCCTACTAGTATCTCGAATTCGCCCACCACAGGCTAAGCCAAACGTGTGACTATAGGAGCCACAACCCGAGCTCGTGCACCAACAAAAATACCGACCACTACTAACATCCCGTACCTGTTAACAATAAGGAGTAGTAGGTGAGTGTTGGGAAGGGAAATAACAAAGTAATACCTCACGAACGTGGGAGACAAGGACGTTAGACAAGACCCTTTGGTTTTATTCAATGTCCTAATATCGAAGAGTAGCCTATTAGAAAGTAGAACAGCCTTCCACGAAGAGGAGTAGGACAAATCCTGTACGATTCCGAGTAAAGGTATCGCTTCACCCAAGATATGCAATCTGTATGAGAGCTGTAACGTAGAACGAGGTAGCTGACGTTACAGAGGAAATTTTCCCGACATTCCAGAGACCGTCGGTTAAGCGAACCACCCAAACCCGAGTTAAGAGCGGCAAGCCGTGAGCCGTAGGAGATGCTGCTAGGAGATCAGTAAACGTTCGTGAACAAACCTGCATGATGGCTAATCAAGTGTCTGATTCGATGGGTAGCAGTCAGAATTAAGCCTATGAACGCGATATACAACGGCCTCTTTGGTTATCTCGTAGCATGGGCACTGACACCACTACAACAGTCAGTGACTCCAGGTTAAGACATCCATTGCACCTTGCGACCGTCAAGTCCCCGTGTCTGATTGATTTGAAATTCAGAGACCGAAATGCAAGTGAGGCTCCTCAGGCTCGGAACAACTTAAAAGACAACCTATCCAATCACATCTGACATTGTGAAAGTCAACTCAGATCGATAGGGCAACAGCTAAAAATCCAATGAAACACAGTTTGGTGTGGGTTGGCTTTGATCAGCAAGCAAAAGTACAAAGCACAGAGACTGCTGTTCTGTTTTTGGGACGCACCATTCAGGCTAAAGCCTACAGAGGCCAGTTTGCACAGAACTGGCCAACACAGTTCAGACGACAATCTCCCTAAAGACCGTGAAACAGATGCTGCCTTAGACGAACACCAGGTGGTGATGCAAATCGTCAGGTCCCTCTATGGCAGTGTGAGAGGACTAACATGTAAGCTATCAGCAATCATAAAAATAGGCTTTCACTTAGATCCGAAGGTCATAGTCCTGACTGAAACATAGCTATCGCATGACATCATGGACGAAGAAGTGAGCTTGCATGTCATGACGATTTTCAGATGCAACATTACGCAAAACAGGTGGATCCGCGATATACATTGACAGCCACCTTAACGCCGCTATAGTAAGCGATAATGAATAAGCTGAGGTGACAAAATCATCCTCGTGTTCCTTCAATGTGAACGGCACAAAGAATTTGCTTGACAGGATATACCGCCCGTTCTCTTAGGTTCTAAATCCCAAAAGAATGATATACTGCAAGTGATACCATACCTGGGATTCGACCAAATACTGCTAGCTGGATATTTCAGGTGGGGGCAATCAAGTGTGTTTGGACACAAAATTACAGAACATCCTAGTAAAATCTGAGATCCATACAGTAAATACTTCATTTGCAAAATATCAATCAATCGTCTTAGACTTCACTGTTCCTTCATTTCCACAGCAATCGCTCTCTGTTCTCGTTCTCTTTTCTTCTATCCTCTTAACTTTCTGCTACCACGTATTTCACTCATATCTATCAATATCAGTAGCACACACCACGAAACTACAAGCTGTACAAATTCATAAATAACTACCAAACTGACTAGAATTAGTGCACCCAAGTAGCTAGAAAACCACCTGTTGGACAATACCGAATACCTATAACCATACTGAAACAACAATAATCGAGCGAAACTAAATCAATCGGTTTATAAAAGCTCTAGACAAGATATTGCATAATACATACGTGTTTTACTAAAGCTTTATCAAAATATCCAAAAACATAAGTTATTCTTACGGCTTTTTATTCGTATATTTACTTTGGTTTTCATTCGTTCGAAAAATAAGTTTCTTTAGTTGTTTGAAATATCAAGGCAGATGTCGAGTATAGCGACTGAATCAAGGTTGACGGTAGCCATTTTTGTAGAGCATGAGTAAACGTATGCTTGCGATAACTGATGGGTCGAGTTCGCGGTCACGTAGACGCAGTAGATCGCCAGAAAAGTCTCCAGGTAGGATTAGGTAATCTTTTCTGGCTTAATGTGTTTCAGATTCAGCTCCTCGAAAACGTAAGAGCAGATGGTCTGCAGTTGAAACAGATCGGATTTTTATACCTGGTATGCCTACTCAGCTGCCCCCAAATCTTACACCGCAACAGGAAAGAGTGTACATCAGTATGTGAAACTTTTTGGCTTATCTCGTTTGTATAGTTCAGCTCCAAATCGAAGATATGTCTAGACGCTTGAAAAGTGGAGATTTGGGTATCCCTAAAAATCCGGAAGACAGGTTAGCTATTTTTAATTTGTATATTTTACAGTTGTGTAGATCTCACTTATTTGTTGAACTGGTTATTGTGCTGTAAAGTTGTTTGAAAGTTTTCTGTGTAGAATAGTCTGGACTAGTTGGTATAGACTTCACGTTAAACTAACACTTATTTAGAATTAATGTATTATGTAGCTGGTCTTATTTACTGTGGATCAGAAAGTAGCTAATGGGTAAGGGTTCACGAAGCTAATATTTTTGTAACTGACCCCAACAGGATTCCGTATGCTAACAAATATTCTCTATTTCAGATCCCCTTCACCGGAACCTATATATAGCAGCGACGGTAAGCGCTTAAACACAAGGGAATATAGGACCCGCAAAAAGCTGGAAGATGATCGTCACGCACTTGTACAACAACTTATGGAAATTAATCCTGAATATAAACCACCCTCTGACTACAAGTACTAGTTCTTTGATAATCATAACTTTGTAGAGCTCCACAGAATAGAATAACGGATAAAGTATTTATCCCCCAAGATAACCACCCGGATATCAACTTCGTTGGGCTCTTGATTGGACCGCGTGGGAATACGCTTAAGGCACTGGAAAAGGATGTAAGTAGTTTGCGTTAAGTTTTGTTTCCTGTAAGTCATTTTGTAAGCGTAAAAATACTTGTTAGTGCCAGCTTTGTGTTTTTTCGTTATTTTCTGGTCCGAAAGTTCCAGTGCTGTACCTAACTATTCATTTCCCATCCTGATGATTCCTCATGGCTGTTTTCCATAGACCCAAATTATGCTCACAAGGCTCAATTTAGTTGGTCCATTTCCTACTCCACATGTAAAATCTTTCGGATAGCGTTTAAACAAGTGGAGTAAGTTGCGTGATTTGTCATAATTCGTCCCCATCTGGTGACAGCCTGCGAGCTGGCAGTTGAGTTTCCCTAATCGCTTTTCCTCAGTGGGTGTCGTTAATTCTTCACTGCTTATGTAGAAACTTTAGCGTATCATCAAGTTCTTTATGTTAATAGCGCCTACACCAAATGATTTAGAGATAATCATATTACACGGTTGATTCGTCGGACCTCATGGGGAAACAAATAGCGGTCTCCTTACCACATAAGAATTACGAACTTCTGGATGTAGTCAGTGTAGTAGTAGAGTAGTATCGACTAAAGTTAAAAAAGCTATTGTGCAGAATTTCCTACTTCGAATTTTCACAGCTCTGTCAAATGAGGTAAAATGTTGATTAGATCGAAGTGTTACAAAGCAATGGATTTTGTTTGAGCTCTTGAGACGTAGTGTTACCCCACCAGTTTGTTCGGGGTCAGTTTAATAATGATCTTAAATAATGTAACTAACTTATCAAGATGTCTTGCATTCAAGATGTTTATTGTTCTGTATTGTGAAAAACTAGGGATGATCAGTATTTATCTGTCTCATCCCCATCCACGTTATCAAATCTTTCAATTATTCGAGTAAAGTTGTCCAGTGTTGTTTGTTTAAAAGTTGAGCATGCTGTTGGGCCTAAAAATGTGCAGTTGTTTTGTTTGGTGCTATTCGAATCTACTTACAGTACGACATTTGATGAGGTTGTGAGTCTTCATCGACTGGGATGGTTGGGCCACGTATGACGCATGCCCAACCATCGATTTCCACGGTGCGCGATGATTAGCGTTGGAGACGGATAGGTAAAAATGAGGGCGGCCAAAGCAAAAAATGGCACCAGTTCATCAAGTCACTAACTTCTAGTCTGAGTCATTTTGGTAGATGCAAACTACTTAGTTGGGTGACATAGCTCAGTATTGATCACGATGACGTAGGTGCATACACTCTTTGTCTTTCCTTAAACTGTTTGATTAACGTCACTTTATACCGGGGGTGTTTTTTACTATATCGAGAGAATGAAAAGCGAATGTCCGGCGCTTTAATCAGGTTGGTAGACACGGAGTCGGGAAACTCTGATTCCTAACCAATGGTGCACATGGTCTCCAGGATCCTAAGGAAATAAATAGCGTATGAACTAATCGTTGATCACCGGCTACCATCTCCTTACGTTGCTCCACTTCGTTGTGGATCAGACCTTTAGGCCAAAGGCTCTGAGTGTTGTCCCCTAAGAAAGCCACCTACTTCGGCACACGGGCAGTATCCCAGCCCTCATACAAATCAAATGATTTATGTGGCGCATATCTATTTGGTGCCTCCTTGTACCAATGTTTGTGTTTAAATAAGTAAATAAACCTTTATTTCTACGAACAAATTCTCTCTGTATCATATCCTTATATGCAGTTTTTTTGTAATATATTATTACTATTGAAATAATTACTGTGAATTTGGTGCTAATGAGGTATGGCAACGCAAAGCGATGTATATATGTGCCTGGTCCTACGTTGTAGATGACTGACCACAAGACTGGGATATAGCACTTGTGTTATACAGTAATGTAATGAGCAAATTCATGCCCTCGAATTTCTATTAAAGGATTTTCAAACAACAGAGCTGACCGGGTTAGTCATATTTATGACTGGAGAATAAGAAATAAGTGTAGTAATAAATACTCAGTAACATAAAAAAGCTTAAATGTCTTCGTGTCCAGGTGTAATACGAAGTTAGAAGCTATAAATCCTTGCAGTTTTTCTATAATGTACAAGCAAAGTATCAGGAATATGTTAAGGAATTAATTTGATTTCTTTTGGCGTCATTGTCGTATTTAATTTTATTCCCTCTGGATTTCATTTTTATGTATCGCTTATAATCTTAGAAGTTTCATCTTTTATAGCACTCTAAAGTTATCTTTAGTGTTTCCTCACTTTTCTTAACTTCAGACGGGCGCAAAAGTAATAATTCGCGGAAAGGGCTCTGTTAAAGAAGGCAAGGTTGGAAGGAGAGACGGACTTCCTTTACCTGGTGAAGACGAGCCTCTACACGCTTTCATCTCAGCACCTTCAGCCGAATGTGTAGACAAAGCAGTTAAAAAAATTAATGAGATAATAAGACAAGGAATTGAGATACCAGAGAGCCAAAACGATCTTCGAAGAGCCCAGTTGCGCGAGCTTGCTTTACTTAATGGGACATTGCGTGAGCACGAAGGTTTGATGAAACTACGTGCAATGGCCGAAGCCCAGTCAATTGCTACCAACAAAATCCAATGTGGTATATGTGGAGGTAGGTTCGCTTGAGCTGCATTCAATGTCTAACTCTATCATCTACCTAAGTTACATCAGCTAAACTATTACGTGGATGAATTTGTAATAGTTTCTTAGTGTATCGTTTCTAGTTATCGTCTAACATACAGAACATTTCGTCGATAATCTTGGTTATGTTTTCATGATTTAGTATAAGGAAAATGCAGTTTTGTAAGGTTTGTGGAAAGTTATCTACGTGATTAACACAAATTGCGCCATTGTTTTCACTACAGTTTCTAAATTTGTAACTATGTCGCTTTAATAAGATGTTTGACCGTATTGCTAAGGTAATAGTGTTTATGCATAAGCTCAAACGTCCATCTACTTTATGTCCTTAAGTTTATTCAAATATCATCTGTGGATCACAAGTAAAAACTTGTTATAGCAGTTCATTTCTTTTCGAAACGTTCGTTTACATGTTTCTTAATAAGTTTTATCAAACTTTATGAGAATATTTTCGAATCACCTATCAATCCTGTTATCTTTAGTAGATTTCGGACGGTGTAGGGTAATCATCAGTCATCACCTATTTATAGCACAGTTTGCCTAAAAAATCCGTTCCCTATTGGTTTATGAAGTCTTAAGCACATCATAAAGACAACACAGAATCACTACTCCACTTTCTGTGTGGATCTAGGATGCTATCTACCAACATCAGGCTGTCTGCCAATAGCTATCAGTGCTCATTTTTCTTATAAAATCTTTGTTTTGGTAATTAGCTGACGTTTATTTTCCATTCTAGGTGCTGGACATCTGTCAACCGACTGCAAAGCACTGTTGGGTGGTCAGGCATATCTTGATCAGCTTAATGCCAACCCCGGTGAAAGAGCCAAAATGGATAGCGAATACACTGCATTAATGGCGGAGCTCGGTGTAGGTGGTTCACAAGGTTTGCCTCCCGGTATGGTTTTAGTTCTAAATGGTATATAAAAATAGTTGTTTATGGGTTTGTAGAACCAGGCGAATACGGGTTCGACCTAATGTTTTGATATGAAATGCAATTAATTAAATTGGGAAAAGATCTGAATAGAAATCGAAGTTCGAAATTAATTCACGAGTTCAAGATATGTGATTATATCCAAAAGTAGAGATCGATTAAAATAGGAAGCTGAATATTCCAAACCGTTAGCTTTAATACAACATTAAAGTCCTAGTTAGCAAAAAGTCTTTAACCAAGGAGCATATTTGATTGGGATTCACTTCATTCCTAAATGCTGTTATAAGGCATCTTAACAACCTGAACCATAATTTTTTGGGGTAAACAAATGCTAGTATTAGTCACTAGTAACTACGATAATTAAAAAAACTCCATTCTAATGGCTTTTTTCAATAATAGTCAGGCGAGTAACTCCGAAAAATTGTGTTGGATTTATACATTTATATAAACACTTAAGGTTTTGCTATTCCCTGTGGCCCGGCAACTGTCACGTGACAAGATCACCAATCAGAAGCTCGACTTCTCTGACCCCGCCTCTGCTAAACTAGTGATATGTCAAAACAGCCTTGAGTCAACCCTGAGCCCTTATTGGTTCCCTGTGTAGTAGCTCATCTCCTAACCTAACCCGTTCAGTCCAGCATATGAACATTAGCCTCCGCTGTGTGAATCGTTTATTCCAGACATACGTGGTTTATATACAAGCAGATTGAACCGCATCACTATAAAATTAAAAATAACAGTTATACAAGACCGATCCCAAAATGAATGTGAGTATGGGACACTAATTAATAAATTGGGAATAATTTAAAAATGGTAAGTCATATAACAGTAACCAATAGGTCAAATGAAAGCTAGTGACAAAAGTAATATATATATATATATATAATCTGATTATTTAATAATTATCCAACGAGAATATATGTAATGATGGTCCATCAATAATTCCTAGCAGTTACCATTCATTTATTCTTCGTTGACAGGTTTCAGAAAATTTGGTGATTTATTATGCTGAGACTGACATTGGATAAATAGTAAATGTAACTCTAAATATAAAATCTAAGTGGATAGTTGTCGAAGTATTTTGGGCGAATAAGCACATCGTTCTATCAAAGTTAGTTTTTAGAAATAACGTCCCATTGTCCTATTTAGTTAATTTGTTCTCATTTCTAAATCTTAGTTTATTTATCCATCTGTTCGTCAGATTTTGTATCGAAATCTTATCTGCGCTTAGATCACACCCAGGATGTAACTAAAGACCATCAAGAAATAACACTTATCCTCTCCTATATACCATTTCTTAACAGCTCAAGTGAAAAGTCTGCCAGCAAAGTAAATAAAGTCCAACATCTATATGCTGAAATTGTTTATCAGAATTGTAGATGCTTCAACGGTACATCATAACATTACTGATTTTTAACTGGAGTAATAAAGAATTGTAGAAATAACGTGCGTTCATGTCAAGCATTATTTAGCTTCTATCCTGTGAATTTCGGTACCCTGATCAGAATATATTAACAGTTAACGATTCACAACAGGTATAGGATGAATGTTATTTTTTTAGATCATTGAAGTTCAACTACTAAAAAGAAAGGTTGGACAGATTGTTAGAGATTTAATGCTATTGAAAGTCAGGCTAACAGACCGACTAAACAATTTTTGTCCATAAAAGATGGTTTTTAGAGCGATCACATTCATTTGACTGATAGCTATTTTTATTCTTTAGTACTAGATTTTATCACTAGATGAAGTATTCAGAAATATGCCACTCTTCCAGTTATTTCCTATAGAAAATCTCATTCGGAATTTGAAATATAGTGCGACTTCTAGTACTTTTTCTTCAGTTCTTGGATGTGTACCTATATTACCTAAAAATTCACTGAGGAACTATTTGACTACTGTTATTTAATTTTCGTGATTTACCAATATATCACAGTGCTTCTATTGCATCCGTCTTATTATCAGGTCTTAGAGGCTTTAATGCTTTACAACCACAACCTACCCGCCCGACTCGTCAGCCCCCGCCTCCTGGTGTTGCAGCTTTTGATGACGACGACGATGGAGACGCTGGAACAAATTGTACTACTGCTACAACAACTTCAACGGTTTCAACCACGGTTTCTTCTCCCAACCAGTATGCATTTGCTTTGCCACCACCACCCCCTCCTCCCTCTCAGTATGCACCTATGGTGACACCTGTTACTCCATGGGCGACTCCTGCAGTCGTACCACCTATGCCTGGATATCCGTCAACTGCCGCCTATCCTACTTCCGGAGTCCCCGCAGTTGCAGGAGCCTATTCCGAAGTGCCAGTTGCAACAAATGGTGGTTCCTCATTAAACCACTGGCATCCCTCCGTCCCTGGATCAGCTTCTTGGGGCGATAGCTCATCACTAGTACCAGCTGGTGTACCTGTTCCCGGTAAGTAGTCTCAAATAATTTGGATCTGTTTGCAACAGTGTACAGACTCATCGCAACTAATTACTTGCATTTCGACGTAGTTGGCAACATGATAGTAGTTTATAAACTTTTTCGAAATTCTTAACTTGTTTTTGACGTAAATCGATCAAAACTCATCAACGTTCAAGTCACCAATCTACGTAAGACCTTAATGAGGATTATTTCTCTCAATTCTTATGTATTGCATAAAAGAAACGCTTGCGAATGCCACTCAGTGGTTTGGGACTGCTTCATGAATTAGTGTTATAATGTCGACCGTTTCGGTAACAGTATAGATACGTTTCTCCAAATCAGATATAATATGTGTAAAGATTAGTCCTGTTTTTACGCCGGGCTGCTAAACCTGTTGTATTTTGGTAAGGGTATTGTTGAGATCTTTCCACATGTGGCTTTTCGGTCTCTTTGTTTAGTGTGAATTCTGTTGGTGTTTGTTGTAAAGATTTTCTTTTCCTTTTTTAGGTACAGCAATGGTTCCTCCTTACTACCTGCCCACACCTACGGATTACTGGGCAGGTTATGCGGGAGGTTACACAGCCTCTGTACCCAACTTACCCCCTCCTCCACCACCACCTGGAGTCTAGATTCATTAACCGTCACTATTCACTTGCAGCCATAAAACCGAAACAACTCCCTGTACAAATTCAAGGCATAAATGGCTTTATACCATCACTGATTTATGTTTATAGAAATCAAGCTTGTTTATCATTGTTCTAGCAGTTTCTGTGCAAACATATTGATTCTATGAAAATTGTTTATTTTCTCATTATATCTGTTTGATAAGTTTTCCTGTTTCTGAATGGACAATACAATGAAATAATAGTGAAAGTTGGTTAGTGTGATGAGTCATTGTTGTTTCACGTCGTTCTCTTGGACAGACTGTATTAAATTGACACATTTCATTCTCTACATTCGTTCAGGCACTTAATTTAAGCTAACTAACTCGTTTTTAGCGGTATTATGTTGTGCTTAAAGACTGCTCTTATAAATCATTTTAGTGAGTTAATATTGCATCGGTTGTCTAGTGTAGTGCTTCGTTATTGTAAGGAGAACTATTCAGTTTATTGTATATTGAGCTGTTGAACATTAAACTTTTGTTTAAGTACCCGTAGATTGATTTCATTCATAAATTTCTTCAAAAGGTGTCCACGTAGTTCACATTGATTCATGGTAACTCACATGCTAGATTATAAAATTTACAAGAAAATAACCACTTTTTCTATTTTAAACTTCGTGCATATTTTATTGCATATATGTATTCTCATAACATCAAAGGGACTAAATAGAAATAATTGAATAAAAGAAATATGAACTGCATTTGTATTGGTTCTGTTGCTTTTTTAAGTATGCAAAAATAATACTGAAAGTTTGGCGAAATCATCTCGTATTCGCGATAAATTAACCTGAAATTAATCAGCAAAAAAATAATATTCATCCAACATAATGGCGTGAAGTGAGCTACATACTACTTTTATTATCTAAAATCCACTCAACTCTCTAGGAGTCTTGAATTATTCGAGCTAGATTTCTTGTATTTGTTTATGATTTTATATTCACAGTAATTATTCAGTGGATCTGTGTCCTTGCTGCGTGTTTTTTATTTGTTTGAACAGTCATAGTGTCGCTAGCTTTCACACCTCAGTCAGTCAGTAACAACGTAGAACTTCGTACGTACGTACATCAGTTCGAGTTGCCACATCACCTTAGCACAGAGATGCAGTTGTCGATTCAAATCCCGTAGTGGTAGAGGTAGCAAGAGTATAAGCAGTAATAGGGAAGATTAGGGTTTGGAGATGTTATTTAAAGAGTATAATCCAGTGAAATAAATTTGGGAAGAGGAAAAAAGGGACATGGAGAATTCAGAAGATTAGAATCTGGGAGAACACAAAGAGTGGATGCACCTGCGCCATTGCAAACGATTTTGAGCCATGTCATTCAGGGTCTCTAACCATCGGTTGCTATCATCTCGCGGTCCCCAACCAGTTAGTCCACACCTACCAACATGACTCAGTCCACTTGTCAGTGACTTCATGGACTTGTGCCATGTTTTGGTTTGGCCACCTCTAGCTTTCTTCCAACCTACTCCTATACCACTGAACATAGCGCGTCGAGGTAGTCGGTCGTTGGGCATACGTAACACGTGTCCCAGCCATCTCAACTGGTGAAGTTTCACTACTTCATCAATTGATTTGCCATCCTTACCTAGTACCCGTTTCCTAACAACTGTGTTACTCGATGGTCCCATGATATACAAGCAATGTTTCGAAGACTCCTATAATCGAATACTAGTAACCCACGAATATCCACTACTCTCACCGGCCATGTTTCACTGTCATAAAGTAGGACGGAACGAACTGCTGCGCAGTAAACGCGTCCTTTGGTTGATAGACGGACATCTCGCCTACGCCATAAATGACGCAAGTTGACAAAAGCTAGTCGAGCCTTCTGTATCCGTGCTGAGATTTCGTCACAAACCAGACCACAAGGGCTAGTGAGACTTCCAAGATAAGTGAAGCGGTCGACACACTCAACTACTTCACTCCCTATCATTAGTTCGGGTGTCAACGCAACCAAATCCTGAAGCAACATTTTGCATTTCAAGGGAGAGAATCGCATCCCGAACATGCTTGCATTGTTGCTTAGAGTGGTCAGAAGACTCTGCATTTTGTTAGCGTCTTCACCAAATAAAACTATGTCATCAGCATATTCTAAGTCAACAAGTGAATCTCCTGGTAGAAGTTCAACCCCTGTAAATTTAGATGAGGAGAGTGTTATCTCTAAAAGTACGTCGACCACAAAGTTGAACAAGAATGGGGAGAGTGGACAGCCCTGACGAACACCACTTGAGGTAATCAATTCTGATGATAGTTCGCCATAAGCTCTCACTAGACCAGTTGTGTTCGAGTAGAAAGCCTTTATAAGGTTAACGTACTTCTTTGGTACTCCTTTCAGTGACAAACACTGCTATAGAACCTTACGATCAGCAGAGTCGAATGCCGCCTTAAGGTCGAGAAATACTACCATTGAGGGGCGTCTGAACGTGTGTCTGTGTTCTAGAACCTGACGTAGTGTGAATATCTGATCTATACAACCACGTCCAGGTCGAAAACCAGCCTGATTTCCTCTAGTCTGCTCTTCACGAGCTTTGATTAGGCGTCGAAGTATTATTGAAGCTAATATTTTAGACACTATATTAGTCAAACTGATTCCTCTGTGATTGTCACAAGAGGACTTTTGTCCTTTCTTATAGATTGGCACAATCAGTGATTGAGACCAGTCAGATGGGATTACGTCCAATTCCCAAATTCTACCTAAGACCTCGGTTAATCTCATTGCTAATACTGGACCACCATCCTTAAAAATCTCAGGAGTAAACCTGTCAGGGCCTGCTGCTCTCCCTCGTTTCATTTCCTATGGCTTTTTCAACTTCGTAAAGGGACGGAGGACCTACATTAACTTGCCATTCAGGTTGACTAGAGATCGTGGGAAACCGCAGTGTGGCTGAAGGCCAGTTGAGCTGGTCCCTAAAGTGTTCTGCCCATCGATCCAATCTCCTGGATTGAGAATGAATAATATGTCCATCTTTCTCTGAGATTGTTTCGCTAACGGTCGGGTTCCTAATACCGGTTTCCTCAACGAGTCTGAACAATTGTCTGCTATTACCTATTGCCGCTGCCTTTTCCATCTCTCTTGCTTTCGCTACCCACCACTGTTCGCGATCATTGCGTAGACTTCTTGTCAACTTGTGCTTAAGCTGACTCCGCTCTTCATTATGTTCAGAACCAGGTGGAATGAGTTTCCGAGCATCTATCGGTGCATTAGATGCTGCTGAGATCCAGTGTTGCTCCCTGACCTTGTGGTTTACCTTACTAGCAGATATCATTGCTGTTTCCACAGCTTTTCGGATATCATTCCATGCTGCATCGGGGTGGGCATCACATAATGGCTGCCTAACTGTTTTCCTAGTTGTTCCTGAAATATACTCTTAGCTTGACTATCATTAAGTAGGCCCTTAAGAGGTTTCCTTGCAGCGTCTTTCCTACGTCCAGTAAGACGCAAGCAAATACGCGCTCGCACTAGAGCATGATCTAAATTTAAGCACGTGCTCCAGAATGAGCGACAGTCTTCTATCGAGCCCGTCCATCGGTGGCTGATAGCAATGTGATCTATTTGGGTCCAACGTTGGGGCGAATTAGGGGGTCGCCATGTTAAAAGATGTTTTTCCTTATGCTTAAAGTTAGTATTTGCAAGGAACAGGCGGTTATCTGAGCATAGCTGCAACAGACGGTCGCCATTATCTGTTCTTTGAGCCACGACACCATAAGATCCACCCAGGTGTCTTTCCCTATCGCTTAGTTTACCTACTTGAGCATTAAAGTCACCAGCCACTATTACTACATCAGAGCGCCTAGCTTTTCGGAGAAGGTCGGAAAGCTTTCTGTAAAACTCATCTTTGACATCATCTGAGCTGCAGTCAGTGGGAGAATAGGCAGAGACGACGAAGAGGCAACGACGAGTGTCCCTATATTTCCGGATTCTTACTGTTCCGTTCAGTCGAACAGCGCACAAACGACTGTCTACTGGGATCCAGTCTAAGAGAGCTAGTTCTGTCCTAGGACTCAATGCTATACCTACGCCGGCGAGGCCACGGGAAGCAGAATCAGGGCTTCCAGATACACGAAGTGTGAATCGAGTCGGTTCTTTATTTTGGCATGGTGAGGTCAAATGAATGACGCTACTCGGATCCTGTATGCGCGTTTCGGAGACGCAGCACACATCGATGGCGCGAGATTCTAAAGTCCTAGCTAAGGAAGCCTGTTGTCCTGTTTGGCATAATGTTCGGACGTTAAAAGCTCGTACGTGTAGTTTAGAGCGTGGTTTCAGGAGACCAGGAATAACGTTCCGTGTACTCAAATCGTTGGCCCTAGCGGTGCGAGGTGATAAAGAGACGTGAGGAGGGTTAGTCATGGAGATAAGAGAGGTATTAGGAGGTGTAGGAAGGATTTGAATGTGACCAACATGGTCTCGTGTGCTGTTACGGGTATGAGGGCTGATATCACTTCCCGGCTGCCCACACCGTGGAAGGGTATTTCTTGAGGAACCTGAAAAGGAAATTGGATTAGTGTTGGTCTTAACGACCTGGGAGCGTGATCGCAGAGCCCAAGGGACAACTGCTTGAGGCCGGCCGCGCACGGCCTTTTGTGTGGAAGGTTTTTGACGTGTTAGCTCCGTTCTTCAAAGGGCCTTACCGCCGGAGACGGAAATCCGTGAGGTAAGGTAAGGTGTGGCATTTTTAGGGTCGACCTTTTCTAACCCCACCCCTCCTTGTGGGAAGGTAGCATCGTTGCAGATGCTGGTTGTCCGAAGGAAACACCTTACTGCTGTCACACCCCTCTACAGTCAGCAGTACGACTTCGCCCTCAGACCTTGAGTTGCTGCTTTTAGTCTTACCGTTCTCCAATCGACCTGCCTGGCATGGTAGAACCTACAGTAACATATGTTCCAGCCAATATAGTTCGGTTGGGTCATCACGATAGGCAAGCCCGACCACCGCGTCAAGGTAGCAGCTTCGGTCGGGAGCTTTCACACCTATTGAGACTGAATGTCGTTTCTTTTGTGTGTATTTCAGTTCTTTGATTTCTGGCATTAGTTTTCAGGTTCACTTCTCATTAGATCTTATTTCTCCTAAGTTGACGATGAAGTGGTAAACATTGTAAAGTAATAGTTTGATATGTTTTTACGCGCAAGTGCTTAAATTTATTAGCTTTATGTAAACATCGG